GATTGCTCTACGATGCGGAAAAAAGGTAATTTTTAATATTTTTCATTTTAACTACAAATTTATAATTCGCGCGTTTACATTTTATCTCAATTTCAATCCTGTAAAAGCGTTTTCAAATCCGTTCAGTCGTTTCGGAGTTATACTTAGAATGCAAATGTCGGTATTCAGCATCCTCTTAAACTCGCCAACAAAAATCCGATTACGAGAATTTCATACACGTGAAAAGATGAATATAAAACGAAAATTGGCTGTCAGTGATTATACTAAGAAAAAAACTTCAACGACAACTGAATTCTTTGAAGGATCTTTTAAAAGAATTACGAAAAAAGGATCTTATAACAGTAGAGGATAGCGATATATTACAACATATAGATGCAAGTATGCAAGAACTAATAACACGAGACATAAGAAAACAAAAAAATTTGCGCGTTAATAGAATGTATAAAGCTAGCTTACGACAATTCGCTTTATCATTGCATTATTATTCACCGAAAGCATATAATTATGTTCGTCATAAATTTCATAATAATTTACCACATCCAAAAACTATTTCAAAATGGTATCCTTCATTTAATGGAGAGCCTGGCATTAATACGGAGGCTTTAGAAGCTATAAAGCAACGTGTACGTTCGGCTCCTTATAAACTAATCGGTGCATTAATATTTGACGAAATGACTGTTTGCAAACATATAGATTATTGTAACGGTAGATTTGTAGGCTATATAGACTGTGGCAATAATATAGAATGTGATAATACAAAGGAGGCTAGAGAAGCACTAGTTTTTTGTGTTGTTTGCATGAATCAACCCTGGAAATTGCCTGTTGCTTATTATTTAATAAATGGTATAAGTTCCGAACAAAAATGTAATTTAACAATACAATGCTTAACAGTAATTCATGAGACCGGGTTACTAATTGTATCATTAACGTGTGACGGCTTAGCTTCTAATTTAAGCATGCTGAATAGTTTGGGATGTAATTTTGACATTAATTCAAATTTTCAGAGTTGGTTCAAACATCCAACTAGTGATACCGATGTTTACGCATTTTTGGATCCCAGTCATGCGTTAAAATCGGTTCGAAATACTCTTGGCGGTATGAAAATACTTCTTGATGAAGATGGTAATAAAATACAATGGCTACATTTCGAGGAATTGCACAAGTTACAAGAAGTAGAAGGGTTACTTAGCTAATAAGCTTAGAGTTAAGCATATAGACTATTCTAAGAATAAAATGAAAGTTAAATTAGCATCGCAATTACTGAGTACATCTGTTGCAAATGCATTGCAATTGTGTAAAGACAAATTAATGTTACCGCAATTCCAAGATTGTTCTGCATCTATTAGATTTACAGTTATATTTGATAACCTGTTTGACATCTTCAATTCAAGAAATCAAAGGCAACATGGTTTTAAAAAGCTAATAAGTTGTAATAATTATTTTGAAATTATTCAAAAAGTCGATGAATATTCACAATACATTAAATCATTGTTTATTGATAAACCATGTCAAGGTATACTCCAATCTAAATTTAAGACAGGTTTTTTCAGTTGGCTGATAAATATTCAAAGTATGCAACAGATGTACAAATTTCTTTGTATTGACAATGCATATTTAAAGTACATTTCAATGTATAAAATTAGTCAAGATCATCTCGAGTTAATTTTCGGTAATATACGATCCTGTGGTGGGTACAATAACAATCCTACAGTACAACAGTTCAAGTCTGCTTTCAAAAAATTAATAATACACACAGAAATAAAAGAAGGAAATACCGGTAATTGTATACCTTTAGAAGAAATTTCTATATTAAATATTTCATCTAATCTAAAGCAATCAAAAAATCCGGTTAACATTATAAATGAGACAGCAAATGAAAATTCACAAAAATGGCTCAGTGATTTAGATACAGCATATATTGATCATGATTATTGTTTAGAAATTCCGTTATCTCTTACAGAATACAAAAATGAAGTTATCACTTATTTAGCAGGATATATAGCAAGAAAACTTATGAAAACTTTACATTGCGTTGAATGCGTTGGCGCATTAATAGAACAAAATGCAGACACAAAAAATAATTATAATTTAATTAATATAAAAAACAGGGGATCTTTAATATACTCATCAAAAAACCTTGTGTATATATGCAAAAAGATTGAAAACACAATACGTCGTTATTTGTGTGAAAATGAAACATTGAGTCATTTTAATATGAATACTTTTGTATGCAATGTTATGGAAGAACTTATACATATAAATATATTTCCAGAATTGAAAGAACACGTAAACGATCAATGTTTTTGTAGTAATCATGTAAACCATTTATTACGTATTATTATAGAATCATATACAAAAACTAGATTAGCACATTACATACAAAATGTTCGCATTAGTGATAGGCATAAATTAAATAAGTTAATTTTGTTCAGAGGCCAATAAAAATATATATATGTGTATAATATTTTTATTTCTTTTCATATATGTTTATAATATTATATAGTGCTTAAAAACATACAATATATATACATTTATAAGAAATTTCTGTCTTTAAAATACAAAAAAAGTATAATTTATAATTTATAAGAAACATGTATAATACTACATTTCATGTATTAATATTAGATGGATAACAATATAATAAATTTATATATTTTTTTGAGTCCTATGTGAATTTAATTTAGCGGTTTTCAATTATTTATTTTAAAGATATTCTATAAAATTTAACAAAACTTTTGCAGATTTTAAAAGCTACATAATCTAAAGACACTACATAATCTTACTTATTATTTATTTTACTAGTTAAAATATTTATGAAGTTATTTAAATGACATTATAAAAGTTTCAAAATAAATTATCTTCAAAATTCTTCGTAAATAATTTGTTAAGAATTGCTGAGTAAAATGTAACCTCCACGTACACCGAACACTTCCGAGCTCACGAAATGAACCGAACCAGCACGGAATTAGCCGACGTCAGGGTAGTAGTTTTACGCCTATGGTGCTCCCCCTTCACTGCAATTATCAACGTCCCCTCGTAAAAGGCTCCGTCCATGTATTCTTAGGTCCATGGTAAGCGGAAAAATAAGAGGAGGGAAGAGGCGAAAATAATAGAAACGGCGAGTATTGCCAACCTCAAAAATAAAAATACAATGGCGCTAACTTTAAATCTAACAAACTCCCCATTTTTCATTGCTTATTCTTGTAGCTTATCTCCAGAGTTTGCCAAAACACTATAATAAAATATTTTTCCATTATTCACTACTTCGTGAATCAGATGAAATAATTTAATATTTCACTGCACTTTTCGTATTAACACAATATGTTTATTGAACTTTGATACAACGGTTTGAAAATACTTAACAACTTTTAAAATATTATTACTCACTTTATCTCGTTACATTTGAAACGTATTGCGATAATGCCTAGGAGCACTGATTATGCTCTGGATCGCTTTGCCAACGCTTAGGGACGCTTTTCGTAATCGTCCTGAGGCTGATCGAGATGGATCGCGACAACGCCTTGGGAATATTCAAAT